GGGGGGGGGGGGGGAGGGGGGCGAAGGGTGTTCGGGCGACCAACGGTGGGGGAATTATTTTAAGAAAAATATTTTTTTATAAAAATAATATTTTTATTTTTAAAAAAAATTAAATTATCAGAACATAAACTTCACGATATTTTCTAATAGCCGTTTACAGTCGGAACTCTTAAAATTGTACAATTTATAATGTTAGATACTTAAATGAATAAAAAAATCAACATCCATTAAAAAATATATATAATTTAAACACTTATTTCCTAATTAAACATTATTTATTTAGGTATTAGCTTAAGGTGACAAAAGCTGTCAAAAGTTTGAAAAATAGTTAAAATTGTATTTTTCTTACATTCAATTAAATTTATATGTTTTAAAATTTTATCAATTCACTTTTTTAATTAATATTAATATTAAATTTGATAACTCTTTTATAAATCAATGTCATATGTTATATCATAATATTTTCGAACGATATTTTTATAAATTTATTACCTTTTAAATAGTTTTTAAAAGTTATTTTATAATTTTAATAGTTTATATTTATATTTTTAAAAAATATCAATTTCATGTTACATAACTATATTATGTCATGTGTTAGTCACATATCAAAAAGGCTTTTAAATGTTAATAGTTAAAGTTAATCAAATAATATAACTGATTATATCCCTTGATTCAATGATATAATTAGTTTAACTTCTAGTTTAAAGTACGAATTAAATGACTTCAATTATTAATGAATTTGTTGTTAGTTTTTTAGGTTTTAGGTTCACGCACTACATACATCAGAGGTATGAATATACATAGTCAAATGATTGAAATTTTTGAAAATATATTACATTGTATACCCCTATATTTAAAAAATATAAATTTAAAGATAAATTCAATTGAATGTGAAAAATTAAAGGATTAATTAACTTTTTTTTTAGTTTGGAAAAGTTTATATACCCAAATCTAGAGTTTGATTTTTTATTAAGTTAAAGTGATTACAAAGTAGTATTTGTTCTAAATTCTCTCAACCATTTGTTATTGACCGCTCAATCACCCTGCTGCAATAGTTGGTGCTCGAACCCGTGACCTCTAGGAACACAAAACGATTCTTTTAATCACTAGGGGAAGTTGGTTCGTGCTAGAGTTTAAATTTAAAAAGTAATATTTTCTCTCTCTCTCTCTTTTCAATAAATAAAACGTATCTAATATTGAATTTTTATTTCGATATAAGATAAATATGAAAATATTCACGGGAAAAGAGATTAGGAATTAATGTCAGTTTTTCATTTCACCTCTGATCGTAAAAAATAAAAAGTTAAATTACGATAAATTTATTTTTGATAATATTTATATATGATAAAACTCAAACATAAAAATTTAAATACTTATGATTTCTTAAGTGTTTATATTAAATTTAAATAAAAATATTATTTTTTGTTAGATCTCATATAATTTAAAAACAGAATAATAATTTTATGATAGATAATAAAATAATTTGAAATATAAAATTATACATTAATTATTTTAAAGTATGGTTTGCCGGATTTATGAAAGTGGGAGCCTGATTCTTGGGCAGTGACGAGGTTAACACAAAAAGGGCAGGGGGATGTTAAGGAAAAGCTGCATTTAAGAGGAGATGCGTGTGATTATGGGGATCCAATCATCTGGCGCTGCTTTTCAGGTTCTCTCTCTTTATCTCGTCTTTTGTCTTTAACTCCTTTTCAGCCTTCCCCTTCTTTTTTATATTGCTACGTTGCCTTAGCCTTTAGGCTTGGGCATAGCTCTTGTTTGGTTTTAAATACCTAATCCAGCGTGTATATTTTTTATATAACTATTCGGGATTTCTTCTCTTACACTTTAACAATACTTTATCTTTTCAAATATAATATTGTAAGATATGATTTTAGTTTACTTATATATTCATACTTTTTTTTTATTATATTATTATATTTAAATTAAGTTTTTCCATTATCAACTTCTAAATATGTATACATATTATGTGGACAATTTCAATTCAACATGTACAAATCATTCTCCACCATAAGATATTTAAATTAATATTTAATTTTTATGTTTTTAAATTGATCAAATAATATTATATATCATCATTTTTTAATAATCTAGAGAAAGTGTAAGACAATATATGTTTAAAGATAACTCTCAACCACTTGACATTAAAGGCTCACACCCTTGACATTTCTAGTACTCGAACTCAGAACATCAAAGAATAACAATAATTCCTTTACCAACGAGATCACTTGATTCGTGGATATTATCATTTAATTAATTGATATAAAATAAGTAAAAATAATAAATAATTTAAAATATTTTGTTGACGTCACATCTAACATACGACGTGAACCAAGTGTTTTCAACTTCCACGTAAGGATGACAGACGTATACAATTTCGTGGATTTCACATCGCATCCGTTTCTATTGGGGTGAGGATGAGTATAAGTTAAGTGAGTAGTAGGTGGGTGTGGATGTAAAAAATTATATCCGATGTGGGTAGTAGGTAAGTGATGGATTTGAAACCCTTACATGCATTGTATTCACCCGCCCTGCATCCGCTCATCCTATATTTGCATGTCCACTAACTACCCATTATATAATTTTTGGACCATTATTAATTTAGGTATAATTTCAAATATTATTTTACAAATTTTAAGACTTGTAATTTAACTAAATGTTAATGTATAAACATTGTTATGACGGTGTTTTTCATTGTTGTCTAGACTTTAATATGTCTTTTATTATGGTGTTCAATGTATTAAGACATTTTTTTTATTTTAAAATTTTATGTTAATCCTTAACTCAATTGATCATTGATTTTATTATGTTTTTTAGTGAACGTATTTATTTTATGTTTTGTTGTTTATGTAATTTGTGAGGTTATTATTAGGTAGGTATAGGCGGGTACGAGATGGGTGATGAGTATTCAATTGGGTAATGAATGTGGGGATGAATTTGAGAATGTACCCACGTGAGTAAGTGTGGGTTTAAAAATTTTATCCGCCATGGATGGTGGGTAAATAATAGATACAAAAATATTAAACAGATACAGAGATAAAAGAAAAGATCCCGCTCCATCCATTTGTCATCACTACAGCGGGAAAACTCAGCTAATTTCATTTTTCTTAATAGAATTTCAAGGGGATCTCAAGTACGGCAGCCTTAATATACGGCTAAGGAAAGACGCTATCAGAAATATTATTATTTTTAACATTTTCGGTAAAGCGCTACCTAAAACATTATTTTTTATCGAAAATGTTAATATTGGACGCTACCTAAAATGTTTAACATTTCCGGTAAAACGTTACCTAAAACATTATTTTTTTTCTACCAGAAATGTTAATATCGGTAAAAAAAAATAATGTTTTAGGTAATGCTTTACCAGAAATGTTAAAAAATAATAATATTTTCGATATGACATTTCCTTAGCCGTATATTAAGGATGACGTACGGCAGAACTACCTGAATTTCAATCTTAAGAGCCGTAAATCATAAAGTCGTATGTTATTTTTAAGGTAAATTATGCATTAAGTACCTAAACAATCAATTTTGTCTATTTTAGTGCCTAAACTTTTAATTATTTTCAAAACCATACATAATGTTTAGTTTTTAGTTTCATTTTAGTACATCTATCATTAAAAAATTAACAAACAAGCTGACAAGGCATAAATCTGGTGGACGGGTTAACCAATTCGATGAGTGGACCACGAGAGAATGACGAGTCGACCAGGGCTTGCCAGGGCAAGAGGAATGCCCGCCCAAGGCCCACAAATTAAAAAATTATTAGTGTAATTTATTTTTATTTTTTATAATAAATTTAAAAATATTATGAAATAAAATAATGGGTCCATGAGTTTATTAAGGTATCAATTGTTATCATTAAATTTTTATATTAATATTAATAAATTGTTCAACTTCCCATCAACCTCTAATTTAATATTTTTTCCCAAAATTCAAAAAAAATCCAATTGAATCTTTTTAATTTGAGTTTTTTCAAATTTCCACCATCAATTCACCAAATCTATTTTTAGATTTTTTAAAATTTTATTAACATTAATTTTTTCTATTCAAAACTCAATGGGAGAAAAAAAAATAAGTATAACTAGCGTGTTTCTTTTCTCTTCCATATTATTTCACAATTTATCTGAAAATTATTACTCTCATGTTTTAATTTCTCATATTTCTCACAAACACGAAGTCATAATTGTTTATCATCAATTGTATTGCTTGAATCATATTAAGATTGTTCTTAAAATTTTAGGTAGATCATGTTTTTAAATTCTTTCTTTCGATTTCTATATATTTCTAAATTCCAGGTAATATCGTTATTTTATTTCCAAATGTTATCATGTGTTTTGAGAAAAATATGTTGGAAATCATTGATGTTGACACTATCATCAATGATTTTCCATCAAGAAATGTTCGAAAACAATGTTTTTTTTACAAGTATTTACATGCTTAAATATTTTTTTTTGATATTTTTGATATTGTAATGAATTATTATTGGTGTAATTTAATAAAAAATCTAATAAAAAATTATATTACACATTTCTTAATTTTTAAAAAATTATGGGCCTATTTTTTATTTTTGCCTTGACCCAAAAAAATAGTCAAGACCGACCTTCCAGTTTCCACTAGACGGTCGGCGAAGAAGATTGGAGGATGAAGCAATCAAAGAGTCCTTCATCAATTTGGGGGAAAATTGAGGTATTTTCGGTGAAACAGATACTAGAATCACGTTCAGGGGTCGAAAGGGTCCGACCTATAAAGTTTGGGCTTTATCGGCCAACTGATGCAACGACCACCAACTATAGACACAACGACCGATGAGTATGTGTTAAATTTTTAACGGAGAGATAGTAAAATGAAGTAAAAACTAAATATTATGTATGGTTTTAAAAAAATTAAAAGTTTAGGTATTAAAACGAATTAAAATTGATAGTTTAGGTAATAAATATATAATTTACCCTATTTGTTATTACTGTTTTGCATAAGGAAAAGACAAGGAAAATGATGATTGGTGATTTTGTTTATTTTCCATGATGAACTGCGGAATTTTGTTTGCCGTTTACAGCTAAAAGAGAAAAATAAAAAGAAGATGCAATTACGACCTAATCATTCCCGCTCGCCCCAGGTTTTGGTGTCACCATTTGCTTTAAGCTACCATCTTCATGTCTCTTCTACAGCTCCAAATTACCTTCTTCTTTTTTTCATTTTACAAATCTCTTGGAGCTTCATTTAAGATAGCCAACTTTGTCTTTTCCCTTATTTCCTGGCATTTTGTTACATGTCGATTTGTGGCTTCTCTTTTTAGTTCCACTGTTCTGAGTAACACCATTGCAGACTCGGAGCTTGCTCATCGGAGAAGAAATTGCAAGCTTCATCTGCACTAAAAAAATTGTGCTCTTCCATCTTCACAAGATAAGTCGTTTTAGAGAACTGGAAACAGTTCATGGAGGATGGTAAAGAAGTAGACGATGAGTTGAAGTTGAATGATGAAGTTTTCCTCGGCGACATCGAAAGATATTGGCTTTGTAGGATCCCGGACGAAGAAATAGCAGCGTTGTTGTTGTTCTTCGCGGTGGTGGTGTCGTCTTCGTTCAAGATAGCGCTCGAGTCGCTATCCGACGACCCATCTTTCAGTTCCGGCAAAAGGATGGCGTCAACTCCTCCATTGTTGTTGTTGAAGCTCTCGTGGATCAGTTCGACCGGAGGCTGCTCACTTCGTTCCATTGTTTTTTCATCATTTTCGGGCACAATCACTTCCTCTTTCACTGAACGATTTCTCCCTATGCTTTCTCCATTCAGTTTTGCTTTTAGCTCTCGTATCTGCAATCATTTTCAGGAGTTTAGAATTTACAGTTAAAGAGACTGGAGTATATAATATGTTGGCACATTACCTCTCTTCGAAGGGCTTCATTGTCTTGTTGAAGGGTATCGAAATTGAGCTTAAGAGTTTCGTAGTTGGTTTTGAGAAAGCCATAATCCCTTTCCAATTGCTTGGTCTTCCACCTGGCACGGCGGTTTTGGAACCAGACAGCCACCTGTCTCGGTTGCAAGCCAAGCTCTTGAGCTAGTTTCACTTTCCTCTCGGGTTCGAGCTTGTTTTCGACCTCGAAATTCTTCTCCAAGGCTTTCACTTGATCGACTCTTAATCGCCTCTTTTTCTCGGTACAATGCTGCCCTGCTTCTTCCAAGCACCCTTCTTCGTCTAATCCATCTAACATCGAATGAAACTCTTTACTGTAAATCTGGTGGTTTCTTGGACTTACTTCATCTGTAACAAAAGACAAACAAATACCCAGTTACGATACTAAAACAGGGCCCTGAATTATAAGTGAACTGAATTGAAATTGAGGTTTGTTTCTACTAAACCTGTGGCTGGACAGAGGGACATAAACGCACCCAAGGAACCTGAGCTGCCAACTGATGTCTTCATGGTTGATGAACTCAAAACACTCTTTTGAAAAACTACAGATCTCTTTCTTCTGATGTCTTAAAAATCTTTCGTTTTTTTAGTTTGGTTCTTTGGTGAAAATCTTTGTATCAAGTGGGTCTGAAACAAGGCCAACTTGTACAAGTATGTAGTTGTTTACAACTGTCCAAAAACCACTGCACTTTCTTAACTTCCCCATCACATTTCTTCTCCAACTGTTTCATCCTCTCAATTAGAAAACAAGCAAATTCAAAGCAAGAAAACCAAGACTACACCCAAAATACCCCAGAAGACATGCTTCCAAGAAAACCAGTATACCTACACGTGTACATGTAAGAACAGCACACCCTTCCCACAAAAAACCCAGACCTAGAAGAGAAAAACTTAAAAATTTATATTTTCTTTCATTCTTTTGCTTTACATCATTATTCAATCAAAATCAAATGGCAATAGTGTTAGGGAGAGAGAAGAAGTGGGGGAGTTTTCAGAAGTGAGAACCAAACTGGGAGCTGGCCATAATCAGCTTATCTAACTTTATAAATAAAAGAAAAACTAAGATGGGTCAGATTAGGGTTACAATTGATTGGTGTTAGGTACACTGAGTAAGCATTGCAAGGTTGGCAAATGCAAATGCAACCAAAATTCACCCCAAATGCAAATTGTAGTCTGTACCGGTTATTGCCGATTTTCGACCGTTTGTTTTTGGTTCTTTCCTTTTTGGTGGTAAAAAAGCAAAAGGTAACGTTAAGAGTGTGTTTGGTTGGGAAAATGTGAGATTCTCATGGAAATAGAATCTAAATTCCCCCGTTTGGTTGGCCGAGAATGTCATTCTTGGTAATCTTACATTACTAATAGTGGGTTTTTTTGGGTATATTACTGGGAATGTCATTACCTCCCTTTCCTTAGGTATTGTTGGATTACCAATGTTTTGGACTAAAATGCCCTTAAAAAAATTTCTTTAAAAAATATTCTTATTCTGTCATTGAATAATAAAAATTCTACGAAGGTTAAATTATAAATTTATCCTTAAACTATTTTAGATTTACAAAAAAAAGTCTATAATTAAAATATTATATGAAGTTCAGGGGTTAAAATAAAATTTTACCCTTTCATTAAACTTTTTTATATTTTCAATTTTGTAAAAAAACTATATAAATTTTATGAATTTAAATTTTTTAAAGAAAATATATAAATATTTTCCAATTTGCTAAAAAAACAAATATATAATAAGGACAATTTGGTCAAATATACATTCTAATAATCTTTTATTCCTTTAACCAAACACAATAATCTTACATTCATGCTAAACCAACCAAACACAAAATACAACATTTCCAATAATCCTATCCCTGGTAATCTTTTATTCCCACTAGTAATCTTACATTCCGTGAACCAAACGCACCCTAAAGGTTAGTTTTTATTCCGTTTTAGTACATCGCCATTAAAAAATTAGGTAAATTACGTATTTAGTATCTAAACTATTAGTTTTGGTTTATTTTCTTATCTCTAAACTTTTAATTTTTTCAAAACCATACCTGAAGCTTGAAGTTTAGATTTTGTTTCATTTCAGTATCCCGTTCAAAATTTAACGTTAAGTTTTTAAAACAATTAAAAGTTTAGGTACTAAAACGGATCAAAATTGATAGTTAGATACTAAATGCGTTAAGCTTTTAATAGTGAGGTACTAAAATGAAATAAAAACTAAAAGTTAGGTATGATTTTTAAAAAATTGAAAGTTTAGATAATAAAATAGATCAAAATTGACAGTTTAGGCACTTAATGCGTAGTTTACCCTTGAAAATTTAATGGCAATGCATTTTTAGTGGGTAAATTACATCATTCATCAATCAACTATCTTCTCACTCTTGTTTTAGTACTAAAGTTTAAAAAAATTCAATTTAACTACTCAACTTTCAGATTACTCCTATTTTAATAATTCTAATTTATTTTATTATTAATAAAAAAATAATGATTTATTCTATTAATAATTTTGTCATATGACATTAATTATTAATATTATTAGTATTATTTTATTAATATATAATTAAAAATAAAAAAAATTGAAAGTCATAGTGACTAAATTAGGAGTAATTTGAAAGTTAAGCAATTAAATTAAAAATAAACTTTAGTAATCAAAATAGGAGTGAGAAGATAGTTGAGTGATAAATGATGTAATTTACCCATAAAAAAGGTGTCACATGTGAAAATCACCTATTAAATTTTTAACAGTGAGGTACTAAAACTAAACAAAATTTAAACATTAGGTATGGTTTTTGAAAAAAATTGAAATTTTAGGTACTAAAACATAACAAAATTGATAGTTTAGGTACTACATGTGTAGTTTACCCTTATTTATATTAAATATCAATTTGTTTTAGTTTACAAAATATGATATTTAATATATTTATGAGTAATTTATTAAGTATATGATTCAATTTTTAAGTGAAGGTGAACTTATTAAGTGGTTAAAATGAGTATTGTTTTTTTTGGGATTTCGAGTTTAATAATTATTTTTGAGAGTGTGTTGACAACTATTAAGAAAAAAATATAGATATATATTATCTTGTAATCATCCAAACTAATAAAAAAAATTAGGTGAGGGGAAAAATAAAAGTCAGTATTAAGGGGGTCATAAATGATCCATAAACTTTTAGGGAAGGATGTGGAGTATAATTTTGCCATTGTATTAAATTATACTGTAAAAAAATATAGGAGTTATGTATAAATTAAACTATTATGGATCAAGGCCACTATCTATCCATTTGTATTCGCCCCAAATTTTAGGGCGCATTCAATTGTTTATTATATTTAGACTTGGTAAACTTGACCTGAATATGATTACCTGAATCGATTTACTCGACTCAATATCTTATATTAACTCGGATATGATGATTAAATTTGATCTGAAACCTGAATCATACCAGACCCGAATCATACCTGATCCAAAATTTAGATGATCTAATATGGACACATATCCAATTTGACCCAAATCGAAATAAACTCGAACCGAAAATAACGCGACTCGAAAGAACCCGAATTGAATTTAACTCAAATCAAAAAGCAACATGAACTAAATTTAAACTGATACGAAATTGATCCGAATTGAAATCAACCTGAAACGAAAATCTATATATACTTTATTAGACTTATGACCAAATTAAGTATAAATGATAAGATTAACAAACAAGAAGACATATTTTTACAAGAATATATTAATAATTCTATATATATTTGACTAGGCTCATAACCAATTCAATCCGAATTGACCTGATCCAGAGGTTTACCCAAATTGAAAATCAATATATCCGATATTGACATGATCCAAAAATCAATCAATATGATATTGATACGAATTGAAAAAAACTTATCCAAAAATTGACCCACCCGAAAATTGACCCAACCCATTAGCTGACCCGACCCAATTTACCATACATTCGAACTAAATTTGAACTAGACCCGATGTGACCTGAATAAAATTAAATTGAATATAATATAAACGTGGAATGTCCTTATCTGAAATGACCAACCCAAACTTGATCTAAATGACCCGTTTGCAGTCTCTAATTATATTTTAATCACATAACTGTTAAATCTCTAACCTTTGTTAACATGACCTACATTCCAATAAAAATTATTATTTACAAATGAGGTTGGTTTAATTGTTCAAGTGGTAAACAATTTGATATTGTTTTAGTATGCTTTAATTTTAAATTTTTTTATATGTAAAAACTTTCCACTGAAAGACTAACTCGCCAAAATAAGATGTACGATGCAGGTTGAATCAGATTAATTAGAGCGAAGCCTTAAAACCAGAATGAATAAAAAATTAAAATTTATTATTTTATAAAAAACACTTATTATCCATCATAATAAAATTTATTTTAATCCATTTTCAACATTTCATTAGTTTCTTTTCTTAACCAACCCTATCACATATTATTATAACTGTGTCAAGTAATTATGTTATTTTGAAAATTTTTAATTCTTCTATATTTTAATATTTTTATATATTTTTATAATATGTTTTCATTCTAAAAAATTTTCTTTTGATTAATTTGGAGTAAGTATTGTCGTCACCGTTTTTCGCCCGGGTGGAAAAAAACTAGTACGACTTAGGGGGTTTTCTTTGAAAAGATTTTGAAATGTGAGGAGTTGTCACCAATCATTTAAGGTGCGATTGGAACACCATAAAAATTGAGAGATTTTAATAAAACATTTTATTTTACCAAAATATCGAGTTTTGGGGTCTGCAAAAATCCATATATCAGGCCTGAGAGTCGATTACATGTGGGGAAGGGTTAGCACCCCCACAATGCCCAAAAATTGGTACCTAGTTGATTACCCTATTTTAAAATTTGGAAATTTTGAGTTCGAAGTCTTATTTAATTTAGAAATCACTATGAATGCAAATTTAAGAATGTTATTTGTTTATCAAAGCCAATAACATTTACCCCCTAGCATGAATGCGGGAGATCAACTATTGTGCCCAATAATTGAACATTGCCTCGAGATTTTAGAAAATCATGATGCAGTCTTGAAAAAGGATGTTGACCTATTTCGGGAATCATCAGTAGTTGCTCCCTGAACATGCTTACGGGAGCTATACCGTTAACTCCCTAATAAGAGAACATTGCTTTTGGTTTAAAAAAAATGAAATCACACAATTGATTTAAAAACCCATTGTCTATAGGCGTGTCAATTGAAGGAATTTCTACACTAAAGTGTCAAATTATTGAAAATTTAAAGGACTTAAGAGATTAAGCTTAAGGTGAAGTCTCTAATAATTATCCTATTAATTTTTATTAACCAATTTTTGGATCAGATAATTGATATGAGCACTCGGACATTTTCTGCGAAAGCCTAAACCAAACTATCCTTTAATTTAAGGACTAAGGTGGTAAAAATATAACATCATAAGGACCTAAGTGTAAAAAATCTAACGTTTAGGGACCTAAGTGTAAAAAACTAAATTATAGGGACTAAAGTGTAAAAACCTAAAGTATAGAGACTACGACGTAATAATTCTAAAGGCTATGGACTAAGGTGTAAAAATCTAAAGTTTAGTGACTTAGATAAAAAATAGAACAATTTAGGGATCAAATTATAATTAAATAAAGTTAGGGACTAAATAAAAATGTATTTAAATTCTAGGGACTAAAACAAAAAAGGGAATAATTAAAGGACTAATTTGCAGCTACACACATTAATTTAAAATAGTGGCTAAATTGTAATAAATACAAAATTAAACAATAAAATCGAAATTAGGACAATGACTTGAGTGTAAAAACACGAAAAAACCTGAAATTAAATAAACTAATAGTTAGTATTAGGAAATAAAAATGAAAAATTACTAAATAAGGTCAAAATTTAAATTTAATTAATTACAGCAAATCTGGTGATCAAAATGAACTCGAAGTAGAGTTACAAGGACCACGTAGAATATTTTCCCCTCAAGGCCCAAAATACGCGTCTAGGCCATATGACGTCGTTTCAAGTCTGTA